TTAGTTGGCCCAACCACTTCCCCTTTTGCCCCTGCCCCCTGCAAAATGCAGCCCCATGCAGAGAGACCCAATAAAATGCACAAATACAGGACTCCCTAAAGAAGTCCAGTGGCTTCTCCTTGCTGTGGCGATTAAAAACCTAAGCCCTGCCGTGACCGACACTGTCCCCGAGGCAAAGTGGAGAGGCAGACATCCACCCAAAACCGTGACAGAGAAAGGAAACTCATGAGAAAGTGGTACCCAAAGCTGGTGCTGTCCAAGTGCCTGGGTCCAAATTTGGACTTTCCATCCCAACAACGCAGAACCCCCAAGCTGCATAAAACAAGTTTAAACCCACGTGTTATGTGAGAGCAAGGTGAAAGCCAGAGAGACGCTATGTCACAGGTGCGTTTGCACAACACACCCGTATCTGGAAAAGAATCAGCTTGGCTGGCCTGAGGCTACACTTTTCAGAAAGGCCAGCTTGCAGGGTTGAGCTCTGGCTAGAATCTGGAGACTTGGAATGTGGCAGGGTTCTTGCATTTTCTAACTGATGACAGGGCGTCGTCACTGCACCCAAACTGTTTCTACAGACTGTGTGGTTTATGCTGAACACCTGCTTTCCTTCTGGGAGCCCAGATATTTGGCAAGCGCCAGGCAGCAGGTGCCTGCGTGAGCAGCCCCTAACAAACAGCCTTGGTGCTGAATCTCTGAGGAGCTTCCCTGGGGGACAACATTCCTTATGTGTCATCAGAACTACTGCGGCGGGGCGGGGGGATAAATTCATCCTGTGTCACTCCACCAAGAGGAGTCGTGGAAGCTTGCGTTTGATCTCCTAACTTACACTTGGTGCCTTTCCCCTTGAAAGATTTTTTTTTTTCGTCATTTAGCTGCAATAAATCACGGCTTTGAGCTCAACTCTAGCACAGTCCTGTGAGTCCTCCTAGTGAATCGATAAACCTGGGGGTGGTCTTGGGGCGACCCTGACTCAAAATCCCACAAAAATTGGCACATTTATAAGATGAGCTTGCAAACAAAGAAAAACAAAATTAAGAGAGCAAAATGTTTCTAGGAGTAGATAGAACATAGAAATGGTAGAGTATGGATAGACAATAAATGACCAAAGAGAGATACATAGATAATGGGTGGATGAGGATGGATAGATGGATTAGAGAGATGTGTTAGATAAATAGATGATAGGTATCAAGTGGGCAGATGAAATCATCAGGTCATTATTAATAATTTCCTGGGACCTTCGTTCATGTACCCGTGCTAAGGAGGTTCTAACCAAAGGATCAAGAAATTAAACCTGGACAGCAAGAACAAGGCATTTCCAAAGGAGAACAGGACAGTTTTTTATTTTTTTTTATTAAAGTAACAAAATAAAAAATGTGGACATGGAAAACATAGTCATTGAAATTAAATGATAACCTCATTATATCAGATAAACAGTTGGCTACATTAGAGAGTAACCTGGGGCCAGGTGCAGTGGCTCACACCTGTAATCCCAGAACTCTGGGAGGCTGAGGCAGGAGAATCACTTGAGGCCAGGAGTTCGAGACCAGCCTGGGCAACATAGTGAGACCCTGACTCTACAAATTTTTTTAATTGCCCATTTCACTGATATTTATTTTGGTTTCTTTTTAATTTCAGAATTTTACAGAGGTACACACATTTGGGTTACATAATCTGCTTTTGTACCGCTGTTTCCAGAGTGCTGAGAGAACAGTCACTGTGAATTTAGAATGCTACACCCTTCCACGACATTACCGAAGAATGAGAAGAGATTGTAGGCACCTGGGGATACCCGCAAACTCAAGGAATCTTCATGTAAGATTACTGAGGAATATTTTCAGCAAAAGAGAAAGTTGTCCCAGAAAGAAAGGGTAGACGTAAGAAAAGACATTGAAAGAAAAAAAGATAAAACATGCTGATAACCCTAAACATGTACTGACAGGAAAATGATAATAATACTATAATAATTATTGTAGGAAGGGGTAAACAATTGACTAAGCGATGATTATATGGGAGGATGAAAGAGAGAGGGAGGAATGTGGCGTTCAAACATTCCCCAGTCTTTGTGCTCTTTGAGGGGAGGACAGAGATGCTGATGAACCGACATATTTCGATAAGTTAATAACCATGCGGAGATGATGAAGGGAAACGTGAGACGTAGTTTCCAGGACACTGGAGGGCGGAAGTGAGGAAGGAAGTAGAGAAACCAGAATATAGCCCACAAATGGTAGGAAGAAGGAAAACCAGAATATAGCCCATAAATGGTAGGAAGAAGGAAAAGAAAACCGACAGAGACCTCGAAATAATTAAAGAGCGCAGTAGGGCAAAGGCACTCTATGTAACCGATGTATGTAACATTGTTACCCCTGTAATATTCTGAAATAAAAAAATGCTAAACAGCATGTAAGATAGCAGAAATAAGACCAACTATGTTAACATTTATAACAAATGTAGGTGGCTTATCAGACTATGAAAGTGAAAAGAATCTCATACTAATTCTTTTTTAAAAAATGCATCATGTGCTTTTCCTAAAGGAAGCCTATAAAACCGAAACACAAATAAAATTTGAAACCCAAAAAGGTGTAAAAAACTGTACCAGGCAAATAGTAGTTAAAAAAAAAAAAACTTTTTGTAGCAATAATAACATCAGTTGCATGAAAATTTCAAGCAAAAATCAGTAATACAGAATGCCAGGGCTATCACAAAATAACGAAAACACTGATCCACAAAGATGGTATGAAAATCACAAGGCTGTCTGAGTTTGCTTATGGTCTCGAAATAAAGAAAGCAAACAGGCAAAGGCAATATATGTAACCTAAACGTGTGTACCCCCGTAATGTTCTGACATCTAAAAAACTTTAAAAGCTTGCATAAGACATAAGGAATGGCTGATAACCCACATTCCCAGAGGATGCTCTCAGCACATATTTCTCAGGTACATTATGCAAAACCAGAGTCACCCGGGATAGGGAAAATATTGGTGAAGAAGGAACCCTTCTCTCTACAATTAGAGAAGAATGCCCGTTCATGAATGTGCCTACTCACCAGTCATAGAAGGGCCGTCTCATGTCTTGTCGTCTTACCTGGGGAAGAGAAGAGTGAGCTCAGAACACCTGCAAAGCAAGTCTTTTTCTCATAGCCAGACAGTTAATGGTCCAAAGTGTTAACTAGGCATTTTCATGGTGACACAGTAAATTCTTTATACCTAATTGCAAAAAAAAGCCAAATTTGCTCAGAAAGTATAAGACAAAATTGCATGCATGGTCTACCCAGCTTAGGGTAGTTCTGCGGAGAATGTGGCCAATGTTCCCGGCAAAAAACTGGGTCCCTTTGGTAGAGTTGCAAGGGATAAGAAAATAATAGAGAAAAATGGAAAATGAAAGAAATAAAAGAATACACAGAGACAAAGATATAGTTTTATAAGTTTATGAAGATTATAGGCAAAGCGGGATCTCA